ATATAGATTAAGGAGAATGCCTGCGAGTAAAAAAGCAATTTCCAAGTATTTAGATCTTTAAATATTAATTGATTCTATTAGATACTCATATTAAACATATGAAAATTAGAATGTAAGTAAATAATTATAATTGTGTGTACAAATACAAATTAAAATGAAGTAATTACTACAAACGCATAAAATTGTAAATATTTAGTTTCCATTATTATCTTTAGTGCCCTCTCCTGTCATTGTATATTTAACCTCTAACGTCTTTATTGTTCTTGATAAAACAATGCACTTTTCGGTAAATATAAATTAAAGTTTACCGCAGTGAATATGTGGCGGTTTACTGGTAATGATTTAGTAACTTAACGTTCAGACTACGTGTAGACCTTGAGATTTTAACTCTACACTGTCTTTTCAATTCAACATTACAAAGGCACTAACCTTGGAACAGTCATAGCCAATAGCTAATATTCTTTGGCAATAGTTATTCATTGTAACAAAATTTTTTTTTCCGACATCTCGATCTAGTGGAATTTGAACCTCATCTCTCTGCTGTCTGGGCTATATCAGTTCCAGAAGGAAAATTCTGTCTATTATTTAAGATTTCTAAATACAAGCTTATAAGTTTTAATTTTTTTTTATGAAGGCAGGTTTTTAACTTAATTCAGGTAAAAGACATTAAATCTATTATAATGGATGTTGAACTACTTGAGGGAGGAGTAAGAGTCTATGGAAACAGCGTGTATGCTCGAATTGAATTATTAAAGAAGATGAAGCAGGGATTGTCTTTGTTTCATTCTACTAGTCAAAAAGATTTTTTTCTAATGAAAAGTAGGTCGCAGAACGAAAAAAATTAAAAGTTATTTATAAATATTTTTGAGCAAAACCTAAAAATGATACAGTTTGTATTAACTATTGTTATATCATAAATTAAGTAATGGTAACAAGAAAAAACATAAAAGTAATTAAGTATATAAATCGATTGTATGGTATTATTTCTATTTATACTTGTCATGAAGTCACAACATAAACAGTACAAGTAAATTATAAATGTATGAAGAATTATGTTTTTGACTTAATTAACTTAATAGATACAGTATCACGTATACAATGTCCATCAAATCTTATAAAGAAGACAATGTCGTCACTCGTCACGTTATCGTAAACTTATCTAATCATGTCGATCGATTGTTCGTCAGACGCGTTATCATTTATATACTCGTACCTACCTGGATAACGTGTGTGTGAATTTAGTTCGTACACCCTATCAAAACGCGGAAGTATGAATAAATTTGAATTTTTCAGAGAGCTACTCGAATGATATGCCCTAGGTTTGGTTATTAAAATACCGATTCATGATAAATTTTACGGCACAAGTAATTATAGTATTACTCTTCTTGGATATTTATTAAACAAATATATAAATAAATACAAATGTCTTTATTGTGGATCATAGATCAAATTAAGGAAGGAATCAAATTAATAAAACTATCACTGACATACTAAACTGGTGACATAGCCTAAATATTATGGAGAACAAAGGTAAGAAGAACTATCTGATATGGGGGTACAATAATAAAATTCTCCAGTTGTAAGCTGCAAACAACAGTTCCAAATACTTCTAGAATGGCGCTAGAGAAGCAAGAGGGAATAAAATTAATTTAGTAGTTGCATAATAAAAATTTTGCAATGAAATTTAACATAATTAATTATAGATTATAGAATTGTTTTCCTATTTTAAGATTTCCTTTTAAAAAAAGCGCCATTAAAAAGTGGAAGAGTTGTTTTCCTAGTTTACTTCCATTAAAATTTACTCATTTGTTGCTGTAGCTCTACTCTTAAGGAAAAAAGAGATTGTTAGTAATGGGTTCTAATAGCTGCATTACTAGCAATATATTTCATACGGTCGACATTCACATGGTTCCCCCTAAAAACCATCGTTATTAATTTTTATTGAATTTGTCATGATGGGCCAACTGACCTGCATCCATACTCAACTATCATGTTTCACTGATGCCCTGCCAGCGTATGCTGATAAAGCAGGTAGGGCTACCGTTCCATTTTCACTCATTAAAAAAATAATCATAATAAATGTTTTTTCATACACATTGTAGGATGGGTGTCCTTACCTCTACTCTCCATACTGAATAAGAAATTTTTGACAGGAGTTCCTTATTTAAATGAATTAGCTTAAAAAGCTTAACTTAAACGTAACAGAAAGGTATAAATAAAGAATTTGTTATCCTTAATAAATTTGAATTCTGTATATGTTATTAGTTACTTTGTTGAAGTTAAAGGGTTTCTTATGAGAATCTATTTAAAGTTTGTTAAAAATATTATTTGTTGTAAAAAAACAAAGAACTGCTATTGGCTTAAATTAATAGAATCTTTTGATTTACATTAACAGTTTTGGTTTATCCATAATAAAATCTTTATATATATTACTTTATGTATCTGTTAAATTTTCAAATATCCTCATTTGATATTTAAATTTATTAATCACGTGTTTAAATTTACAATCTTTATTTTTATTAATTTTTGTAGAAAATTAATAATAATAATAATAATCTTTATTTGCTTAAACACGGTAAAGTTAAAGATGTTACATTAGTCAAAGAACATTCGTGCTTAGCTAACAAGGTGATAGCATGCAAAAATACATTTAAGGTTAACAATTAACATTTTGTTTTTTATTTAAGAAGTCTTTTATATCATAAAAACTATTTATATTCAGCCAAGTATACAATCTCTTTTTAAATAAATTCACATTTAACAATTTTAATTCAGTCGGTATTTAATAAAAAATAGATCATTATTTTTATATTAAATTATCATTTGACATCATTTGCTACCTAATTACTTAATATACTACGTTTTGTAATTGAATAAATACTTAATGGCAGAAAATCAACATTATTAAAATTATTAGGAGTTTTTATGTCTTATTAATTTAATAATTTTTTCTACCAATATATCCGATAATTGTGCCTTATTAATTTCGATATTTATTAGAAATATCAAGAGTATTATATATTAAGAATAAAGTTAAGTGAAAATATTAAAATCAATTCTATATGAAAAATTATGGTCTAAACGTCCGTGCAAAATTTTCAAGCAGGTTCTAAAATTTTCAAATTTTAGATATTGTGTTAGAGTTACAATGAAGTATTATAATTATTAATATCAGTCTTATTTACGCAATTTCGTATTTGTTTTACTAGTTTCAGAATTTCTAGAATTGCTATTCAACAACTTATTTACTTGAATAAATACTTCGAAACATCAATAATATTGAGTGTTATGTTAATAAAAGTTCACTATCTTTAGAGTTTAGTGATAGTTTAGAATTTTAGCAATGTAATCAGTATTTACTATTCATTTATTTATATAATTTATTGCTCAGGCTATTAATACATACAGGTACATAATAATAGAAAACAAATATTCGTAGAGTAGTTTAACTCTGCTTTCTTTTACTCTATATTTTTTGTTTACTAAAGCAATTACAAATAACGTAATTAAAAAGCGATGGTCTACATGTTAATGTTGTAGTTGGTTTTTAAATAAACTTATATAGTTCACTTTAGTGAACATAATAAACCAGAGGAATGAGTTCCTATCTGTGAGGACAGACAAGTCTATTTTTACATTAGTGCGCGTCAGCATTCAGGCTAGTTACTGCATGGGGCCAACGACCATGCGATGCACCAACTCTGTTAACTTTTTTTTTTTAAAAGTCATCGACCTTCATGTAATTGTACCGACAACAATTATCGGCAAACATTCCTAGGAATGTTAGATGCTCGAAGTTAAAACACCCACAACAAAGGCGAGATGAGTAATTGTATTTTTTGAGGTTCATACAAATTATGAGTAAGACTCATTATGAGTGTTTTAGTGATACAGTTTGATTGTAATATAATATAACTGTATACTAACAGATTGATAAATCTAATAAAATTTAAATTTCTAATTTACAATTAAATCATGTAATGTCGTTGATGTCTTTAACTTGGAACGTATTTACATGTCAATTAAAATGAAAAATATGGACTCCTGCACCCTTTAGGTCACACGCAGTGATAACCTTGATTTTAGTTCTATAGATTTTAATAATTTTCTCTAATTGCGGTCATAGTTAAACTTTGCTTGTAGAGCTAATTTTTGACTATGTAAAGTGTCTAATAAGTAGCAGCAATTTATTTATTCATTATTTGTTAAGGGATACTAAAGAGAATATAATCGTCACGAGGAATACCTGCTACGGCTACAAACTATTCGATAAAGGGAACAAAGCACGAACGTTACATGATTTTCGGCCGTTCGTTTATGCGTTACATATAAGGCTTCATAGAGATAATGGTTACAAAGTATATTATCTATCTCACTCAGTTGCTTTTTATGCATCCTGCTTGCACGTAGTGGCTACGTCATCGCAGAAACCAGCCAGCCAATTGACCGGTATACCGCCAACCTTCAGTTTTTCTTTTATTTATAACTCGTTCGGGCTGGGTAAGTTTAGCCGCGTTCACACTATCGGTATTATTTCTATAAGTTGGACATCGAAGTCAAGTATAAACATTAACTAAAACATTTTTAGAGCTTCGTGGTTTAATTGTTTATATATGTTTTATAATATCGTATCAGGTCATAACATAAACTATTTTAAACATTGACTGATGAAATCAATGTCTCCGACAAGGTTACACCAGCCATAGATACGAGCAAACTAAAGTGTAGTGATGTTACTGTTGGTAGGTGTCAATAGTTTCCTTAAGTATCATCACTAGATTATCTAACAAAAGTTAAGTCACATATCGAAAAGTAAAGTGTTTTTAATATTTTATTTATAGCGGCATTTTATCATATTAAATCTATCCAGGGGAATATTTTTTAAAATGCCAAAACTGAGACCCTTTGATATTAGTTTAGTTAAGTCAACTTGAGCGAGTAACACAACAAGTGTGAACGTAGCATTATACGGTTTAATGAACGGATAGCGATGGCGGCGGCGCGCGGCGCGAACTCAGTGCGCAGTCGGCCCCGAGCTCCAGGCGGCGCGCGCGCAACCTTACCGCAGACTAGTAGTGAAAGGCTGCATGACTCATACTAAAAACTAGTCATGAACGAGTATGCAGAGTACGACTGGAAGCTGCATCAGATGCAGAATGAGCGATTATGTGAAGTGACAAGAAAACGTCTCACTGATGGTGATAGGCAACGTGCCTTTATTGGTCTAAAGGAAGCGGTGGATTCCAGTCTGAATCTAGCTCTTCGTGACAAAAGCCGGTGTCAGGATGACAATTTCTTGCGACGATTTTTGTACGCGTGCAAACATGACGTCCAGCAAAGCTTTGAGTTACTCGTGCGTTATCACCAATATCGGCGGGAACATCCAGAGTTATGGGCGCCGCCAGATGGAGGTGTTTTAAGAGCGATAAGAGATGGAATACCCGGTGTACTGGCAGAGAGAGATCGCCGTGGCCGCTGCGTGTTAATCATGTTTGCCTCCAACTGGACACCTCATGCCTGTTCGTTACTTTCCGTCTACAGAGCTCTGTTACTGACCCTTGAACGGACACTTAACGACATTCAAAATCAGGCCAACGGATATGTGATTATCGTAGACTGGACTGAGTTTACTTTTAAACAATCATGCAGTTTACAACCGAAAGTATTGAAGCTAATGATCGATTGCTTACAAGACTGCATGCCTGTAAGGTTTAAAAGTATACATTTTATTGGGCAACCTTGGTATGTGGAAACTGCTCTTGCAGTAATAAAACCGTACCTTAAGGCGAAGACGCGGGAAAGAATAATACTTCATGGAAATAATTTATCAACATTGCATGATTCATTGCCTCTAGATATACTCCCAGCCGAACTCGGAGGGGAGGGGCCTTCGTACAATTCAGAACGTTGGTTGCAGGAATTTTGTCGAGGTGAAAACATAAACAGCGCACCTGTTGCGACCGTAATGACGACAGAGGCAATTGTGGAGAATGATCCCCCATCAGCAAAATTAGATAAAGCGTACAAACAAAAGGATAATTTCTCGTTCAACGGCAGTGAAAAAAGTGCTAAATCAGAGCTATTGCGCGATAAAGATTGACCTTAGATACCGCGTTTATTGATCATAATGTGAATAACGGACAGTTCTGTGCTTGGGCACGCCGCCACCAACACAGTGGATCATTGCATTTTTGTAAGTGCTGTCGGCGGGATTTGTGATATTCAGTGTATTGTTAATTTATTGTTTGTAAGAATGCATGATAAATGTTGTTGGAAAGTGACTGGAAAATGCTGAATGCACGTGTGTGAAGTTAGGTAGCAGTGATCTGGATGAATTTTGAGTTTCTCTTTGTTATTAATTAGTGTGTCGGCAAGGTTTTATCGTGGGTGGGGGCAGTGAAGAGGCGCATCCCCCATGTCCGGTTGAGACGTGGTCGTAATGTAACGGTCTCGAGCTCTCGTTTCGGCGCATCCGCCCGGCACGTCTCGTCGATGCGTGCAAGCGTTGGATTTCTGCATTCTGCACAAAGCATTCTTCTTGCACTCTTGTATATTTATCTTATTTATTGAACTAACTTGATTTTTTTAAATAAATCAATATCTCATTATAATATCACATTTAGTTAAGACATTATACATATACAAATGCTTTATGTGAGGCTTGAAGCGCATTTACTATTATGTTTAAGTCTATGTTTGAAAAATATTGGATTCCGATGCAAAGTATTTTAATAATAAATATTTTGTTAAAATAAGAGATCGACTTACCAAGTTATTGTTCGATATTATCCTCGTTGTGTCACTATCTCTAATTATACATGTTTACAATACGTGGTGCAATTTTGACTATCCTGAATTGGGAGTAAATTTATAAGAATTGAAATAGTTATTTTTTATATAAAATAGACTCAATAGATACTTACATTATTTTTTTTTTGTATTGATTTAGTTTTATTTTCTACGTCATACATTGATTATCATTATTCATTTAGTAGGTCACATATGAGGATAATATGTATAGACTGCATAGCGGTAACAGTATTAAATCGATTCTACGATTAAATCACTGACATGTGTTGAATTAATTGATGGCTTTCTTTCTTATAATAATTATCCAGCGAGCTCTCTTTCAGATATATTTATTTTATTTGACAATGTAATTTGTAAATAAATGCTGTGACATTAGACAATATTATTGTACTTATTTTGTATTTTTATTATTCCTTTAAATGGGGCTATTATTAATACAGTCAAAAAATATTTGGATTTTTTTTAATATACAGAATATGACTGAAACAATTACTCTTAATATTGATATTAGTACTATATAATAAATGATTTGAATTTGAGTAGTTGTCTATATTTTATACGAGCTATTAATTGCGGATTCACCTGTGCATGACCGTTATCTCTCCTTTTGACGATCCGAAATTTGAAAATGTATATTTTAAAAATTAGGTAATGCGCTCTAAGATTTAGAAGTGCTTACGTAAGAATTGAATTTATAATCAAAATTCGTGGCATTAAGTAATAAAAGTACCTAATGGTTTATTTCCAAAAAGAAAAGAAAATATAATAATATGAAAGCTGAATTGAGACTGCTCTCAGTAAAATTTTCAGCCAAAATGATCTTGACCAGAGGCTGCTAATAAAAGGTTTCTCTTCGTTGTAAGTACAAGTCTACAATATACAGGTGTCACGGACTCATATTATTATATTAACTATAATTGTTATTATACTTACCTACCTACTTATTACTCAACCTTGCGTATTATATAATGAATGACTGGAAAACGTACTCGAGGAAAACTTATTACAATTACCATAATGTATTAAAAACGTACCTGTCACTATGGTTATAGAAGAAATGCTGTTGTTTTTAGTTCATTTTTATGCAATGAATTATAATTTATAATGCTGCATAATAGTAAAATTGATTAGATTCAGTGATAAAATTTATGAAGAAAATTGTAATCTCAGTTTCCTTTTTATTTTAGTATAATTACTATAAATAAATTTAATAATATGTAAGTTTAATAATACAGCAATGTATATTTTTTTAATGTTAATGGCATATGAGCATTTATTAACCATCATACCTAGATGCACTTTTCTTTGATATATATTCTTTGTACGACGTTTTAAGATGTCTGTCCAACATTTCATCCATCTTTTTGTTAGTTATCCTCTCTGTTTACTCATTTGTTATATTCAGTATATTTTTTAAAATGTGGCTTTAAATTCTCTGCATGACCACCAAGATAAAATGTTACTTTTATATTATAGATGTTTTCTCGTAGATATTAACTTCTGTCTGCTTTAAATATCCTGTTCTTTGTCGTTCTACACATTCCTTTTAACATTTGCAGGTTTTTTTGTTCATCGCTTTTACTATCCAACATTCAGAAAAACAGATATAGTCAGTATCTCAAACTCAAAGATAAAATATATAATAGATTTATATATTTTATTCTCGAGGTTAAGGTACATTCGATCACATGTTACATACTTTCCCGATACCTGATGCCATTTCATATTGTGCTTCACGATGTACCTATATATTAGAATTCTTAGAGCAAATTTTATATCACAGAAAACGTATTGTATTACATGCTGTACATATGATGATTAGATGCTGTATATATAGTATAATATTTTATACTATGAACGATATGGACAAGACCAGTAATCATCATCATCATCATCATATCGTTAATTGTCCATCGTTAAACGTAAGCCTCCCCAATAAGGCAGCTTTGCCAGTAGTTACCGCGCTTGACCGCGGTTAGCAACTGCAGTCAGGCTTTGGTGACGTTTTAAGTCGGACGCTGCTCTCCATATCTCGACCATTAAGATTCCTTATTCGCCACTTATGACACTCAAAGTAAGGCAAGGAGTGACCCATTCTATACCAGGACCACACGGCGAAAGTATAATGATAAGTTCTACAGTAATATTATAATTCTAGTTATCCTTTATTTATTTTTTGTTTGTATTCCTAATGGACTCGATACGATACCTACACGAGTTTGACGATAAGTCAATAACAATTAACCTACTCCAAATATTTAATATTGGATAAAACTCTATAACTAAATTTCACAGTTTTAAATTCAAACATTTCAAAATTGAATTGAGAATTTTATTTAATTTTTTGATTTATGTTTTTTAAAGTAAATTATTACTTTTAGTGGTAGAATATTCACCTATTTAGGCATGTTAATGATTTAGACTTCATTTAATTTAATGAATTAAAACAAATATTATAGAAGAAATTGACTAAATGAAAAATAATTTAATAGACAATTAATATTTAAAAAACATAGGAGAGTACTTTGGACTCATACCTATTGTGCTATTAGTTGAGCTCAGCGACCCACGTATGGTAAACATGGTACGAGTAGCATAATATCCGGAGGTTATGGCAGGCGCAGACAATGGGCTGTGAATCGGGTGCGCAGTGCGTACGCGCCGCCGCGGCGCTCATGTGAGTCACGTGGCCTGCGTTTCCGTTGATGGCCGCAACGGAAGGAAAGTACCTACAGCCCGTTTTTTTGCTAAATATCTAATATCTACGACGTGTAGTCCACCCGTAAAAGGTGATCCATATAATACTTGTAATATAATTCCCATAGAACAAATAATTTTGAATCGTTCAAAATATTCATTTGCTCTACGCGTTTCCCTAGAATTGCAACTCATTAGGATTGAAACTAAATACAATCCGATTTGCTATGACATTTGGATTGTGTCGTTTAAGTATCAGAATATGAAAATACTTTTAACGAATAGTTCTTAATGTTTTCGTTATAGAAATCAGTCCATTGTCATTTTAATGTTAATGTTAATGTCAATGTTTAATGTGATTAGATATCATTGAAATGTCTATATTTGGAACTTACGTCTCAAGATTACAGTAATTGACCATTAACATTAATTACAATTTATAAGTTATTTACATATTTATCTATATAACTAATTGCAAAAGGAATGCAAACTTTTTAGTAATAGAATGTTTAAATATTATGAGTTGAAATGTTAGACTTTCTATTAAAGGTCCTTCTTAGTAAATGTAGGTAGAAAGTTAAATTGCTAATAAAATAACATTAGTATTTGTCAATATGAACTTCTGCAAAGTATAATGTATTGGAAAAAAAAATCAATACATTTATTTGGGTATGTTCATTGGGATGCTGTTTTCTTAGTAGAAATATTTGAACCTAATATTCGTAAACTTATATACTGATTGTAATATCTATAGAAATAAATAAATATTATTTTTTTAAAAAGACAGGAAAGATAATAAGAAGAAAAATAAAAAGATTGTATTTAGATAATTGAGCGTCACGGTCTTGTAGAAAAGTATTGTAAAAATTGTTAGATCAAGTCAGGCAGATAAAAACTGTGAATAAAATTAAATTTCTTGATAGTGTGTCACTTTCTTGCGAGGGAAATCGAATTAACCGAGTGGTGGTGGTGTGTTCATCACCTGCCACGTTCGAAGATAATATCACAGATAATATCTAATACGTTAACGTCCATCACAATGATAATATAATAATCGACAAATGTATAGGCACTAATATTCATAAATATTCCTAAACAAATCCCAAATAGTATAGTCTTATTGCTACCATATTAGGATTTATTTAGTAGTGATTAGGTAAGCCATTAACTAACCAGCTAACAGATAACAAACAGTTACTTTCATAAAATATTATAAATATTATATTCTAAATAAGAAAGTAAAACAATATATTTATTATAACAAAGATGATATGACCTACATATATATATTGTTGAGGAAGTGGCAATAACTATTGATTTACTATGGTGTTATCTTTAATACAACTTATAAATTTATACCTCTTGATATGTAATCAACGATATGATTATCTATTTTAACGTTATGTGAATGATAAGTTCGCGATTACAGTTTGCAACTTACATTGAAAATTATCAAAATTGGTCACTATTTTTAGTATGTACTTTGTATTCAGCTAAGTATTTTAAGAAAATCCTTCAAAAAATAACAATAACAGTATTGAAAGAGTCATTTATTATGACATTTACAAGGAATATAATATTAGGACAATATGATGACGCGTATTGAAATTAGAAAAGTAGATGCTTATATTATCTTATATCTTGTGTAGTTCAAATAAACTTTCAAATATATATTTTAATTTTAAAATAAAGTCAGGTAATGCTGCCAGTATTTTGGGTACGCTGCCTCGATGTGGTGCGTTGCGAGACTATTTATTATTAATTGTTAGTATTAAAAAAATGGAATTGATTTTAAATATAATATTCTCCTATTTTCCTATGGTATCGACTTGTAATAATCTGCATTGAATAAGATTATTTATGTTACTTATATTTTGAAGGAAATATGAACTACATATTCCTATTCGTTTACACTATTATGTATTATATATTGTGTGGTCAAGATAACATGATTTTGTGTGGTTGAATGAGAAATATAAAACTCTACAGGAGTAAACCGCAGGTATCTTAGCATTTTATTAATAATAACTTAATGTAATAGATATTAGAGTATACTACAAATACCTATATCTGTATGTTGTATCTATTCATATAATATAATGTATAAATTAACCACTGCATCTTATTCGTGTATCTGTTCTCAAGCAGTTATATTTACTTGACTGTTTCAATTTGAAGGGTGGGATATGGAAGTATTGTCCTCAGGAATAACAACGTATGAGGGGTATCTACATTATATTGCAGAAAATGAAGTTTATAGAGACGTTTATATATACTGGTGACGGTGGCTACTACGTATCAGGTATGATAACAGTTTCTTTGCTATTTCCAGATACATAAAATAATATAAAAATCTTATCAGTAATCGTGATTTCACGGAAAATTTAATTAAAAAATAAGTACTTTATATTATTCTCAATTTCGTGTATAATATAGTATATTTTATATATGTGTAAGTATATTTGTTATTTGTGTATATTTATTCGTTTATATATGTAAATTTAGTATGTATGTATATTAATAATTACTAGTACTGCATTCGAGTATTCTGACACTTCCCTGTGGTTGACTAGGCGAGAATGCTTTTATCATTAAGTCCGCCATGTACACATGTACTAATGAATAAATAAATAAAATAAAAAATATAAATGTCAAGGTTGCCCTTTTAGGAGTCACTAGTAAATCCATTATTGGTATTTCCATCGATAACGTCCTCTTTGTTCTTTGTAAGTAGAGCAAGTAAGTTAATTAGTTACATTAACTTCATTAGTACAGTGAGGATTTGACCCTAAATTCGTAGTAAGCCTGCGAAGATGTTTTTACAACGGCTTCTTTATATTTT